AGGAGGAGAAGAAGAGGAGGAAGAATAAAGAGAATACGGATAAGAAGACTAAGAAGAACAATAAAGAGAATAAACAAGGTGGTGAAGAATAAAGAGGCAACACATTACCGAGGGCTTGAATGATACCCTGTGATACCCACGTGTAGAAACACCTGCAGCGACACCAGCAGCAGCACCGCCACCAGGAAGATGGCATTCAGCTCCAGAGCACGTCCGGACACCTTCATGATGGCACTCTGGCACTGTCCTCTTCCTCTAAGCTCTCTCGAGTCGGCGTGGCATGTCCTCGTGTCACCTCAGCTCAATTCTTGCACTCTGTTCGTGGCTGGAATGCTCGACAGCTTTCATCTTTCTACCATTGTGCATTCGAGGGGCGTCCACCACGGGTCCTCAGCTCAGCCTATCTGTATGTCATTCTCTGAGGCCAGAGGAGTGCGGGGAATATCTGAAAGGGAACGGGCTGTTAAGAGACGCGTTTGGCTGCGGCGATAACACTAGTAATAGTAACAGTTTAAATTTTCCTTCGTTTCTCGTCAGTGCTTGTCTCCTCGGTGCAACGGTGCAGCGATACGAACACACAATCAACACTAATTGGCGCACAATGATTAGTTTGTTATGAGAACCGGAGCAACAGCGGGCGTACCGTCAGCGCTCACCACCCTCGCTCGCCACCGCAGTCTGGCAGGCGAGGGAGCTACACGACCGGGTTCTCTGACACGGTGATCTGTGGGGCGACGGCGGGCTCACGTCCCCACACGCCCCTCCTCCCTCCCTCACCCCCACAGCTGCCCACAATCGTCACATCCTCGGACTAATCCCTTCTCAGTGTCACATCCCTTCACTGCCTTTGTTCGCTTGGGCCTCGGGGCTCTTGTTTCTCGTCTCGCGTCTTGTCGCTGCCTTTCTTTCCCTCCCTCTCTGCGTCGCTGGCTTCGTCGGATGTTATTTTCTGCTTTCTTTTCCTTTCCGCCAGTTTCCCAATAAAGCCTACCCTCTCCTATTTCCCCTGACACTTGACACTAACATTCATCTAAATTGCATGAAAAAAGGATTTGATATAGCTTCCAAATCGTGACACACTTCTAAACGACTGACAATGAGTGGCACTGCATGCAAAGTAGTAATATTCGCTTCGCACGGCTATTTATTGATTTTCTTTACTTGCAGTCTGCACCCTCCGCCTGAGCACACCCAACAGGTATACTGTCAACCTGACCATATCCATACACCGGTCGAACTGGAATGACGGAGGAACATGATCTTACAAGGTGTAAACAATCCAGTCCCAGCTTTCCAGTCGAATCGCAACGGGGGGCATCACTCGCACAAAAAGGGCATTACACCTTTGCTAATACTCAGGTCAACGTTCAGCCGGCGCTTTGAACGCTCGCCTGGTCGCACCACACGCAAGTCCTCAATCTGCACACTCGGCTCTCCCTTCCACAGGCAGAGTAGCGTGCGTGTTCCAGTCTGAATACTTGATGGCCTCGCGCGATCAAACCTTTGCGAGGTCCCTGAGGCAAAAATTCCTCCACAGGCTCATTTTCGGAATGCCGCCACAGCCACTCACTCCTCCTCCCGTATTATCTCCCAAAGGAAAGAGGAACTCAGCGATGTCAGTTCTTGTCTCTTACGTGTGTTTAAGAGAGTTATAGATCCTTTGATTCGTTGTTGTCTCGTCAAGGCCAACGTCCCCAGGTGAACTACAACTTTCGGCAAACACTGTGGGATACCTGGTGACGCGTTGCCAGTTCATTATTTGTTCCTAAATCATCAACTTGTTTGTTAGGTGCGTTTAGCGTGGTCACTTTAGATTGCCGTTAGCAATGTCGGGGGTTGTTTGTAGTTATATAGATTTTGGAAGAAAGATTGTATCGACGTTGAGAACACAGTGGATTAAAATAAGCACTGAATTAAACATTTTACGGCAACTGCATCAAAGCATTATTGCCATTCGCATTCTCGTTTCAGCCGAACACCCCATTAAATGCAAATTATTTTACAAATAAACTTCACTGTTTCCTATAGACATTGTACATAGAATTCTCCTTTATGTATGGTAAATATCACTATAAAGAATTTGCATTAGAATGGAATTTATAGGCAATGACAGTAGTAAGTATCCCGTGACGTCATAGTAAGGTGGAGAGTTGCCAGTTACATTTATTTATTCAGGACACGTGGTCAGTTTGCTAAGTACCTCTGAAGAAATCTCTCAGTTCTCTGTACCTCGTAACCCCAGTGATAACAAAATAAAACCGAGAGTGTCCGCGGTGGCAGTTTGTTTAACACACTCACACGCACTTGAGAGAACTCTGAAGGTTTCTTATGCTTTCTCTCTCTCTCTCTCTCTCTCTGATATTCTCCCCCCCTCCCTCTCTCATATTCTCCCCCCTCTCTCTTCCCATATTCTCTCCCTTCCTCTCTTTTGCATCCCCTCCCCCTCTCTCTCCCTGAATTGCCGTTAGTTGTGTTTCGGGTAAAATAGTTTTGTTAGCAAACTGTTTCCTCATTATTCTTGGTTTGCATTTTAGTTGATCATGTCACCCTCTCTTCGAGAGCGACCTTCATACCTCGTGTCGCTGAATAGTTTATGTAAGAAGATTAACGTCTCACATATTTCACATTGTTTTCATTGAAAGCTCCTCGCAGTTCCTCCGTCACTAGCCAAGGTACGCGGACCCAGCCAATGCTTATGATGTAACACCTAATGTAAACATAAACAATAACTGCAATTCAGCGTTAAGAAGTGCACAGTAAGGAAAACGTTATACAATTTGAGTTTCTTATCATTGCGTACTTGCAGATAAGAGATCGAGGAACACAAACATCTCGAGAACAGTGATGTGAGGTGCGTGATCTTATCGGAGAATTTTCGATGTCGTTGGATACAAAGATGGTCTTCTGTCTCGGTTTATTGTTAAAGTTTGACAGGAATATAACGTCTTGTGAGAACTTTAAGTAAAAATAATAACGGGTTATTGTTCGTAAGTCATATCGTATAGTAATTGCATCGCTTTTAAACTTTGATAGAAATGAATGTTGGAGGCACCGCATAAACACATTTTCCGCCATGCAGAAGACATGCATCTGTGGCTCTGGCATTTAGTTTTGATTTTATCGCTTCTTTTCTCAGCTGTATGAAGACGAGCAAATCCCTAAGCATGGGTGCACTTGCCTTCGCCTCCTTGAAATTGCTTCCTTGTGTATTTGTGTTGCAATCTTACGTAATATTCTGTTTACGTCTCGCTTCCTTCCCCGGTCTCGTTGCCGCCATGGAATTTCTCGTCCATTTATTGAAAGTTCTGTCCATAAGGCGGTAGAGTTTTTCGTATTGAATAGTATGCAGTATCTGTCTGAGTTTCCTAAAATAAATACATATGTAACTTCGCCCGTTGCTCTTAGCATGATTCCTGAGATATGTGTGGATAAACTTTCATACTGGTAACAACACAAGCGCCGGACCGGAGACTACCGTGAATGATGGATTGTGGTTTTAACTATTTTCACCGGGAATACGATGTCCAGAGAATAGTTTCCTTCTTTTTCCGAATGCATTTTGAACTTATGCAATCATATCCAGAGAAAATAGTGGATAAGAAAGAATGATAATCCTAAGTAGAGCTTATCATTACAATTGTTTCTTGCACCGTCTTGTAACACTCTCTGCAACCTCCTTCAATACTCTTTCCTCCCACACTACATTCCATCAAATTTCTCACGCACATCTGTGTCTCCGCATTGTGCCCAAAGCGTACATACTGCGTACACGAAGTTACCCTTTGCATTCAAACAACATTTTGCCAAACCTTACATACTCTCCTGGCGACCATACGTGGCTTTCAACATCTGCCTTAACATCTGTATTGTCCCGACCGATCCTGTCCGAATTTGCATTGCCCTCACGTTCACCTCAGGGTCAAATAACAAAAGATGAAATGGTGAACGCAACAGCCAGGTGGCAGAGCGGAAGGGCGGGGCCTGGGTTTTGCGTTTTCTTTTTTTCTTTGCAGCGAAGACTTATGTATTTTTGTGTCAAGAGTGTTGCGTTATGGTGGATATTGAGGTTATTTATGGGTGTAGATGGAATGAGTGTACTCATGTGCTTAGATAAGGTGACGGCTGAAGAAGTAGAGGCTCGACTCATACGTCCGGTTTGTTAAAATTGCACGAGGCCCGACCCAATGGATATTCGTATATACAGACACGCATATCCACAGAAATGAATGCATATCTGTCTATCTGCCAAATATATATACACTTTATCTATCTATATATACGCTAGATATGCATGTCTGAACTGATGAATATGCATATATTTCAATGTATAAACATGTCAGTATAAAGAATATTCATTGGGTCGGACCTCGTAAAATTTGAACAAACCGGCCGATAGAGATTAGTAAAAATTGCAAGTTATTCAGGTCTCGTATGATACGTATTATAAATTCCTTGGATCTTAATCGTAAAAAAATGTCTCTTGCGTGATTTCAGCGTATACATAACACATGTATTTAATTATTTCAGCATCATTATGAATGGAGAGCCTTAAAAATAACTTTCAGCATTTGACATCATTAATGTCTAGATTTCCATCCCTCTGGCAAACGTCACACACCAGGAAATGAAAACTAATACGCCAAATGACTGAACAGAACAGACTCATTAGAATATTCATTCAGGATCCTTATTTAAGAATTCTCTATGTGAAATAAAAAAACAAAAAATCAACGAGGGAATAAAATCTGAATTTCATGTTCTGAATTTGCTTTAATGTATATTATGCAAAACCACGCAGGAAAAAGTGCATACAGACAAAACCTTCCACACGGGGTCTGCAGCGAAGCGAGGCTGATTTCAACACCGTAAGGGTTTTGCCTGCGAGGTTTTAAACACTGAAGTATCATGTGTGCAGTGTGCATTAATGTGGTAAAATCACTACAAACGGCAATAATCTCAAGAGAGAGAGAGAGAGAGAGAGAGAGAGAGAGAGAGAGAGA